ACTGTTAACTATATTTTCTGATGGAGAATGAAAATCTGATTTCCTTTTATGTATTTTGCAGGAAGTCATTGATTTGACAAAAGACCTCCTGACCTCACAGCCGGCAGAGACTGTTGCCAAAACAAGTGGCTCGGACACAGTTCCTGTGAAGCATGGCTGGAAAGTGGGAGACAAGTGTCTGGCTATGTGGAGTCAGGACGGACAGTGAGTGTCAGCAGCCTCTTTAAATGAAAACATTATGTGTGTCCACATACTTTTTATAGCGCTGCAATTTAAACCCTCATCTGATTTGTAGTAGCTGTTTTATTATTTACTTTATTATTTTTGTAGATGCATGTTAGTCGCACATGTCAAGTACCTACATTTCCAACTGTACTTGTTCAGTGAGTCAAGGAAATGAGATTATTTATACTGATATGGGACAGCATTGTAAAAACAATATTATAAGCAACAATTTTAGATTTAAATCCACACATTTAGCCATGTTCAAGGAAACAAGTGTACAGTTTTTTTTTATAAATATATATTGTAAAAATGGAAAATGGTGTAAGATGTGTAGTTGTATTTAACAGACAGATTATATGTTAGTTTTAGGCTTTACTTATAAAGTAGAGCTGGCGTTTTTGGCTCATACTCACCTGCTTACAGACGGGATTTTTTTGCAGGATTTATGAAGCGGAGATTGAGGAGATAGACCGAGACAACGGCACTGCAGCCGTTACCTTCACTGGATATGGGAATGCTGAAGTGATTCCTCTACAGAACCTCAAGGCAGTAGAGGAAGGAAAGCTTTTGGAGGAGGATGGGAGTATGAAGCCAAAGTCGAGGTATGAACAAACTCTTCTCTAACTCACTCAGTGAAACTCTGTGCATATAAAACTGAACTTAAATCAAGGACAGGAATGGGAACAACTGTAATCAACCATACGGACAATTCAGACACAATTAAATGATTTAAAGCTTTAGAACTAACAACACAAGAACTTTGAAGAATTGGTGCTGCATAACTCAAAGTGATTGAAGCCAAACTTAGCTTAGCTCAGTGGTTCCCAAACTTTTTTTTGCTGGGCCCCCCTTTGTTTTACAAGAATAGACAGGGGGAACAAATCGTGGCAGGATGAGCCTGATATTATTTGTATCCCGCTGTAACTTTACTGTATAAAGAGCTAACATCTCCAAAATGTCCAGAGTAGTTAGTCATTACAACAAGTGTTTGTGAACTAAAAATCAAGAATGTGGGATACTGTTTGTCTGTGATTTGAAGAGCCCAGCGCGTGCTCCCGACGCAAGGGAAACCAATTCTGCCGTTGAGACCTACCTTAGCACTTGTGCAGGTGAAACGAAAGGGTAGATATGCTTCACCATATTTTCTAGTCTTTGGCTAAGAATGAAGTTGGTTTGGAAACATATTCAGCGATGCTTCATCTCCTGCTTTGCGTTTCTGTGGGCGCCCCGTACTAGCAGTGTCCAAG